TTTAAATATGAGAGGTTGTGTGAAATGACTATAAAGGACTTATAATATAAACTATGAATAAGATTTCTAAACAATAAAAAGTAGTAAAAATGTATCTTGCTAGATTTCTTTTATATCATATAATATGATTTTATAATTTATTTTATTTTAAAAATGATATAAATGAAAGAAAATTGTATTTTCTGAAATAAAATTAAAATATGGTAAGGTTAATCTTGTATTTTCAAAACAGTTTTTCGCAGAAACTCCAAATCAGAGCTTCTGCTTTTATGTTATCCAAAAACATTTTTCAATCGGCATCGTCTTCTTCTGCTGCTGCTTCCTCCTTCGGTGTTTACTGTTTCCGCAGCACGCAACGATCGGGCGACTTAACTATCAAATCTGATCCGGCACTACCAGGGTGATTTGATCACACTGACACAAATGCTACTAATAAAGGAAATCCTCGCCTACGAAAACATAACTAGTGACTCTAGCATGGCAGGGGGTATCAAACTCGTCGTCAGCGCCTTCAGAAGTGACCCAACTGCCTGTGCCTTACGAGCTTCCAACACTCTTCTCTCTCAATCGGCGAAGGGCATTAGCTGTTCGTTTTTCTTTTTGTTCCGTTTTCCTTTGTGTTTGATATGGTTTCAGGATCTGCTGTTGATACGGCAAACTCGAAAAGTCAGAGCTAGTTCTCTGCCCGGCAAACTCCGTCTAGATTAGGCGCGTTCCGACATGGCGGTTGCAGCGTCGTGGAGATTCGGAGTCTTGCGAGACTCTCTCCGCGTGTATGATTTATCGTCGGGGAGGATGCTCTGTTGGGTTTCAAACTAGTCTAGTCCTAACCGGTGACGTGAGACGGATCAGTTCCAGCAAAGGTTGCCTAGCGCCGGCGGGATCGTCGTGACCGGAGTCGGGAGATGGATTACCAATTCGAAGTACTTCTTGGCGTAATTGCAGGAGCCTAATCTGGTACCGTTAGTATCGCAAACGGTAATATTTTAATTAATTTCCTAATTTTAATTGCAATCTTTTGTAATTGTCTTTATTAGCTGCGTTAATAGCCTTTAAATCAGTTTTAATCTCCGTTGGTTACTTTATTTTAACTTTTTTGGTGATGTTTTAGAATTACTCCCCTCCCAGTACCAGACTTCTTTCTCTAACCTTCCTCTATTTAATTTGATTTTAACCCGTAGGGGAGAATTGCTTCTGATATTAAGGTGTATTAATTATTTATTTAATTTATATGAGCAAGTTCAGTTATGTTAGTCATTTTCTTTTTACCCATTATTGGATTTTATCCAATATTTTTACTTTTCAGAATTAACTCACTTTCTATGGGTTGAAACCACATTATTGGTGTGGAATTTTCGGTGAAGTCCGACTATATCTCTTGGCAAATTTTAATCTCTTCGGTTAGAGATTTTTAGCACCTTGTGGTGCCTTTGTAGCTGGTTTCTGTACAGGAAAATTTAGTATTGTGAAGTTATGATCGAGCATCTCCTCAACCTGTGATGGAAAGCAAGTCTCGTTAAATGATTTATTCAATTGTGACAAAGAATCTTCAAGGATGTGCAACTGACTCGGTCGGCTTCTCAGGTGATGGAACTATTCCATTTTACTTTCGTAATTTTATTACGGTATTATCGATGATCATATCAAATTACTTCTCTTTAGTGAAGCTATGTGATTGTATCTTACCCTTAATGTATTGATTGTTACATATTGCAGGGTTTCTCAACTGATCAACATGGATCCTACATCGAGGAAGCATTCTCTTCCCAGTGCATGAGCCACTTACATGGAAGTTTCTTTTTTCTCTCTTCCTGTCCCTCGTGTCAGTTTCGTGTCTTTTCGCTCCTTGGAGCTTTCTCAGAGCTGCCCACCTAGTGGCATAATAGGCTCTTTCATCGGGAATCCGGTTGCATACGGATTACCGTTCTTTATTATTATATGTTTTGTTTTTTGTTGTCCGTCCATGCCTTGGGCTTATCTTGGATAAAAAAAAACATTTTTCAACTTTTCAAAAGCTAAGCGTTTAGAGGTGTTTGGCCATGCTTCGGCTTTTGAAGCCGAAAAGCACTTCTAATTTCTAAAAGCCAGGCCAAACATAGACATTGTGCATAGTTCGGGTCATGAGAGCAATTTCAAAAACCACAAGCCAAGGTAGAAAGTTTGTGTATATTTCGTGCCAAAATAATGTATTAACCCTTAAATTATATCCATCTACAAGGACAATAAGTAAATAATGCGAGATAAACTTTATCCTACTCTATCCGCTCTTTTTTTTTTTTTTTGGTCTTGCCTATAAGCAAAATTATTAACTCTACCCTTCTATAAGGACTATAAAGCGAAGCAGAAATACGAGAAACCAAACCAAAACTCTCACTTAAAAGTGTTGGCTCTCTATCCACAGTATAAGCAAAATTATTAACAATCTCCATCTGCTAAGGACTATAATGCGTCATAGATCTTATACGATTCCAAAACTGGATGACTAAACATCGCCCTAATTTTACTTTAATCGCCCTAATTTAAAATTAAAAATTACTAAACTAACCTTAATTAATCAAATAAAAGTAAAAAAACAAACGAGCTTAATAAATAATAATCCTACCTCATTTTCTTCCAAAATGGTGTCCTCGGCCCTCAAACCATGTCCGCCGCAGAGGCTTACTCAATACTTAAAACATTAAATTTAACTCACCCAGAATAAGTACTTGGTGCAAGGTGTATCCAGTAATACAGTCTATCGGAGCCCATATGCTTTTGAGCTCTCAATTAGAATATGGGGCTTTTGCTTCCCGTATGGAGTCCGGCGACGGCGGCTGCAATGGCTCCAAGGGAGTTTCGGAAGCCAAAGATGCAGATACGTGATACGCCAGTTTCTTGGTTAATTGGGATCGCCCATGAAAAGATTTGGTGTCAAATTTATTAGCCTCATCGATTTGTAACTCGTAGGTGATTAAATAAGTTGATCGGCGATTGTAATTTGAGTAGAACAGTTCCCCGTCCGAATAAATCAGTGTCGGCCGACGGTGGGAATAAGTGGTGACGGTTTTTTTAATGGACTGTGTTAGAATAAAATATTTCAATAATAATAATAATCAGGGTAAAAAAGTCATCTTGATTATTAATTTAGGGCGATTCGTAAAAATTTGGGCGACAATTAGCAACTCCCTTCCAAAAACCCTGCTTGCTGCTGCACTATTGATTTGCCCTTTTTAGGTTAAAATGGGAGTTACTTATCTTTCTGTCCCTTAAAAATTGAATGCACGCAGATGGTCGTTGATTGCGGGTCGGTGCCTCCTGCAGAAGAATGTAGTTTTGAGATGATGACCAAGTTGCAGGTCATGAAGGACTTCATGAACTTGGATCAGGAAGACGATCTTTAAGGTTACTGGAGCGATTTGGACATTTGGCATCTCCTCAGTGACCATCATGACATTTAATTTTTTCACCATCTTATGTCGACATCATCAGTTCCAGCTGAATTGTTATGCCTTCAACTTTCTTCCATTTCGTTAAGAAAATGTTATTATTGAACTCTAGGGTTCTGTACTTGGATTAAGAGCTTTCTGTCTGAACTAGGGGTGGGCATCGGTGCGGTTTGGACCGCATCGCACCGCATTGTTATAAACCGTACCACACCGCATCTTAATTGGACTGCACCGCATGTTGACCGCGAAGTTATCGGTGCGGTCAAACCAAACCGGATAAATTAGCGGTTTGGTGCGATTTAAACCGCACCGCATCTTGACCACAATTTATAATGGTTTGTACTTCTTTAAACAACATCGACTCTGTTTCCTGTCACTGAAACAGAACAGTCCTACAGTGTCAAAAAGTGAACACAAAAAGAATTCAGCAAAGAGGGAAGTAATACGAATTCGGTCCAAAACTTCAACAACAAGGATCCAATATTGGTCTGTCCAAAGCTTCAACAACCATTCTGCTGATGAGTGATAACTATAAGGAGAAACTGAGTTTAGTAGATTGTCAAACAAAAACAGAGCACCCATGAACAAGTTTCCAACTTTTTTTATAGACATATGACATATGGCCGCACAAATCTCTTTCTCGCTTGGTGGCTCGGTCGCAGCCTTGGTGGAGGTGCAATGGAAAAGGGAGAGGAAAGTAGAGATTTGAGATAAGCTGAATCAGGCGACATCTCGAAGCGGAAGCGCGGCCATCTCTAGACGGATCGGGAGCGGAAGGGCGGCCGTCGCAGTGAGATGATCAGTAATAAATAAGATCCCTTTCTTTTCTCTCTACAAACGATTTGAAAAAAAACCTTAACGGTTTGCGGTTCCGAACCGCAACCGCGCGGTTTGGACTTGACCGACCGCGAAACCGTTAACCACTTTATGGGCAGACCGCATTCAGACCGCAATCTTATTGGTGCGGTTTGGATTGACCGTAAGTGCGGTTTGGTGCGGTTCGGTCAAACCAATGCCCACCCCTAGTCTGAACATCCAGAATCGAAGAAACATTAGCAGTTGGAATTAATAAGGAACGCCGCAACGATTACAGTTGCTTTCTTGATTAGTTTCTACTGACAAATACAAAAATGGAACCAAGCTGGGGGGAAAAGGAAGAAGAGTGAACGTTGCTATGGTAACTAGCAGGAGCTCTTTATATGAGAAAATGCCAGAGAATAGGCAAAAGACAGAGCAGTTCATCCCTATAAAATCTGTGAGCTATGTAAAGAGAAAAGAGAGAGAGAGAGAGAGAGATTACAACTACGTGTACCCATTTCTTCTGTGATTGCACCACCACCCTGCCTGCCCCTTGTATGGCAAAACACTGATAAGAAAGTTAATGAAGAAAAAGCAATCGAAACCCCAAAACTAGAATAAAACAAGAACCCTAACACTTGGTTATCTTTTCATCTTCGTCCCTCTTTTCAGCATCCCATGAATCAAATCACGCTACTGCACTCTTCAAACAACCTCTGGCTACTTGTTTCTTATTCTATGACGACTGATTCATCTGGGAGAAGACAATAAATAGATTTATCTCCACGGAGGTTGAGGATGTTTATAGTGCAGGGAGTAGGGTTCCCAACCACCATCTGGTTCCTTGCGTTTGCCCATGGCCATTCCAGAACTTGAGGAAGAAGGCTGTGGGTTGGACCTCAAATGCTCCTCAAAAGACCTGCTGCTGGTTGGACCACCAGTCGCGAGAAACTGCCTCAACCCACCACTGCTGCTGCTCCCTCCGTCAGTTGGAAACCCCAAGTTGAGATCGAGGCTTGCTCGGGACGATGGTCCAGCACCATTTAAACTGAGGGGTCCACCGCCAGCCATGTTCATGAGGAACGGCTGCTGAGAATATGGAGGAGGAAGAACAGCTGATCCAGATCCCATAATATGTGGTACCACGGGGGCCCCTCTTGAATCCACCAGGTACGGGAATGTACCTCCTGGTGGTCCATACGTTGCTGCCGGAGAGAGAGACATGGGACCGTAACCAAAGACGGGAGGAGAAGATGCATACGATGATCCTGCTCCTGTTGGTACCATACCCATAAATCCTAATCTCGCAATGCTGGATGTATCCATTGCAGGCTCCACCAATGTCTTCCCGTTTGGCATGGACATGGATGGCGTCTGAGGGAAAATGAAATCCCTTCTGCCAACTTCTGCTCGACCACCTACTTCCACTTTAGCTCCCATGATAGAGATAACCGGATCTCCACCTTGTCTGGATACTCCATTATTAATACTCAAACCATGAGAAGACTTGCCGTTGTATAATCCCGGATCAAGAGAATAATTTTGGAAAAGAGGCCTATCATTCAAATCAAAGTTCCTGGATGAAGGCCGCAATGAAGATGAAGAAGCAGGAGATGGACTGCGGTGATGGCCATTCCGGAGAAAAAACAGCTCTTCCTCCTTCCTTGCATTCAACTGAGGATTCGTCTCGCCATCATCGCTCAAGCAGTTTAAATCAAGGGTTGGCCTTTCTGATTTACCCGGGTCCAAAATGTTAAAAGAAGACTCTTCCCCACGTTGGAATGACAAAGATGTTGAAATTTGCCTTCCCCCCAGCATCAAGTCCACTGCATTCTCATCTGCACTCTCACTGATATTGAGATCAATGTCGAGCCACCCCTGCCTCTGTTTTGAATTACTACTGCTTGCTGCTCCAGTTTCAATGTTGTTATCAACCTTCCGAGGTGAGGCTGGACGAAAAGCACTGGTGGCAGCAGATCCCTTCCATCCAAGTGATCCTTCAAAGTGCAATGGGGCAGCAGGTGAAGCTGAAGCTGCTGCTGCTGCTGCTGGCCTTGATATAGAAACAATAGAGATCGGAGCAGAGACCAGGTCTGCAGGATGATTTGCTGCATCATCTGAAGAGAATTCTTCATTAAGATCGAACCCACAGAATCCTTTCTCCACAACTTTTGGCTCTCGAGCTGCTTCAGTCACCTGAGATGACTCCATCTTCTCATTTATGTCATTCTCTACTTTATTTATCTCTTTAGAATCAGGAGATGCTTTCTGTGAAGATGGCAGGTCTTCAGCTTCAGCTCGGTCTTCTTTCCCACTTACTGAATCTGGGCTACCAGGCTGCTCATTATGAGGACTTCCCCTTATCTTTTCTGAAGAAGAAGTGCCTGATGGTTCTCTATCGTCAACCACTTCCCTCTCAACTTCCTGAGCAACTAGTCGTGCAACTTCTAACGCATCAACTATCCCATACTCGACATCAATATTGGACTTTCTTCTATTGGTTGAAAAAGAACTCTGGGTATCCAACGCTGATCTAGTAGAGAAATCATAGTCATCTCCTAGTTCCTCATCATCATCACTACTCTGCTCATTTTCATCCTCATCAGGCCCAATGTCTTCTTCCACATTTGATGTAGTCCTCAAGACTGCAGATTTCCTTGATCCATTTTGATCATCTTCAGAAATCACTGTATTAGTCAGTGGATCAATGTCATTGGTAGTATGTCCACCATCTGCCACACCTTTCAGGGCTGGTACAGCTGTTCTATCATCATCAGACGCAGAAGCACTATGAGACTTACTGCCCTCAGCAGCCTCCTCAAACTTTTGTTGCAAACTGGGATCTGTATTCATCTCTTGGATGTTCGCATCATCAGTTGTCGAGTTCATTACAGATTCCAACTTAGTAGAGGCTGAAGCAATTGAGGATGCATCACATAAGTTGCTAGGATTATTTAGGGACTCTGACTCAGGGTGGGTACCTAGTCCACTTTGAACTAAAGAGGTACGAGTCTCGGTGGAAGCAGCTCCTTCTAAATTGCCCACAGAGGTCTTCTCTTTGAAGGAAGTGCCATCTTGATTGCAATTTGATATAAAAGAATCAGTCACGGATATGTCACCCTGGTTTCCATGATCTGAAACTGCTGCATCTGTTACTACAGGCTTGCTACAAGCCATTCCCTGATTTTGATGATCCCTATCAACTTCAGAGTACTTCAAACTTCTTGATTGTGTAGCTTCATCACTGGAAGGCTCTGCTGCACATCTTTTGGTATCATCACTTCCTTCAACAGGAATATCTTTCTTAGTGACGTTGCCATCAGTATGAATAACAATGGCTGCATCTAATCCCCAAGAATTCTGGCTATCATGCTTAGTTTCACGACTATCCTTATCCTGCTTCCAAGAATCAAAAAGTGCTCTTGCTCTATCTTGAACGCATGAGCTAGGGTGGTCAAGAAGACTATTGATAGTCGCCCAGACCCCTGAAGAAAGAGACTGGGCTTTGTCTATTTGCAGCTTCTCTATTGCCCTTAGCAGTGCAGTTATTGATTCTACTATAAACCCAACACTTGTACTGCGATTTTGATTCTGGGCCTCCTTTAACCATCTATCAACAAACCTGAGTCCATCTAGTTGAATAAAAAGATCAAGACAATCCCTATTCTCTGTAGCAGCAATTGTGCTGCCAACTGCCGTCCACTGCCTAGTTGCATCACCAATGTTCTTAATGACAAAATCTTTCTCCTTCTGCATTACAGCAATCAGCTCACGTACTCGAGAAGGGACTGTCAGCCCATCTTTCATCTCAGTTAGGGTAAAGAAATCTTCAAGCGTCATAGTGTTTCACATACCATACCGCCAGTCACTAAAAATCCTTTTATAAAGGATTGCTCTTTCGTTCATCAAGACATTCATCAAACTCTTAAGACTAGTCAGTAAGGACCTGAAAAAAAGAATAAAAATGTATTGCTTAAGAACAGCTCCAAGCTAAGACCTAGCCAAAGAATCGCGGCATCCCTAAAATATAAGACTGATTACATTACCACATAAAAGTCACAATCACAGAATTCCTGATCTTCAGTACAAGTATCACCATATGCTTTGTTGACACAAACTAAACCCACAACAAAAAGAAAATATCAAAGGCTCAATTCTATTAAGGATCACAGGGTAGTCACTCCTACCAATGAAAACCGTGAACGACGAAAGACAACATTAGCCTGAAGATGGCTTTTCCAAACTCAATATTCTAATAAAATGAGCATTCCATATAAAAGGGAAAATAAATGCTGATATGTAGAAACAAGAAAATTTAGCCTGGTGGGGTTTAGGAATGTGATTCGCTGGGTGGGAAAAGAATTATACTGTCAAAGGAAGGCCACCCATAGACCATGCAGCAGACGGCGGCATCACAATTACCCCATCTCATGGTAAGAATATCAATGTATCACATCCTAGTAAACAGTTAAAACATGCAGCACCCTTTCGAACTAATGGAAGAGGGAAGCGAATGTGATCAGACAACTTCTGTCCACAATGGACAAGAGTGAAACTAAAAGTTGAAAACTGGGGGGATAAGACATAAAAAAAAGCTCCGCAAATTCAAAGTTCAGCTTAAGTAAACTGATCCAAAATGCCCTGTTCTCATAAACACCAAAAATCGGATATTGATTAATAAATTAAGCATCGTTTCTAGTTTTAATGCAGAAACTGATGGCCCGGATACTATCAAAGCATGGAAGGAATCCCAAATTCTCAATCAAAATTGAGAAAATAGTGAAGTCTGAACATGAATTGGAGCCGCAGACAGCATAGTCCGCAAGAACATACCAAAACCCAGGAAAGGGCACACCAAGGACCATAGGCAAAGCAGAGGAAACCCTAGCTACAACTTGAGTAAACATCAAACAAAGTCCCTAGAAGAGAAACCCTAACTCACTACGGCTGCACATTTACACGGGTAGGAATTCGAGAATTTCGCATCCAACACTGCTTCAATTATTGCCCAGATACGGCTGATTCAGTAGTTAAAAAAATCCAGGATACCCGAGACCCATTGATCGCCAAAAACCGAAATGAAAACCCCCTCAAAAGCACAATTCCACACACACAAAAACAGAAAAGGTCGAGAGCTTTCACAATTCAGATGGAGAGAAAGGAATCGGTATTTACCTTCTGTATCAAGGAGGGAGGGGAAATCAAACAGGACCACTGCTTCTCCTCCTAACTCTGAACGGAGGCCGCCGGGAGAGAGCGCCGCGCGTCAGCAGGGAATTCCGGTTCAGCAGTTTGCAGTGAACACGCTCGTCTACTATGGCGCAAAAGGAAAAGAACCCTTTAGCTTTCGCACGTCGAACAACCAGAGGGGAGCCGAAGCAGCCGAGAGAGAGTCTTGAGAGAGAGCAGCGGTTCTTTCTCTTCTCCTGCTTCGCGTAACTTTTCCAAACCTTGTTCGTTTCTGCTTTTTCTCGATGTGGAAGTTTTCAAGTTTCTGGTTGGTTTTCGGTTCGAAATTGGGTGGTCGTACGTGACACGCGTGTGACGGGCATTGGCTATGGTTTGGTGGTCAACTGTACGCAATTCCGTTTTAATTTTCTCGCTAAGGATAATAATAATATTAATTATTATTTATTAGTCAGTCAGGCTCATTTGCGAATTGCGATACGGATCTTAGTATGGATTCGGTTTGCATCAGTTCAATCTTATACTCCAGTCTAGGCCTGGACTGAAGGTCTCTTTCTACAATCTTTGGCCCAATTTGTTGTCGTACTTGGGCCTTGAAGAAGTTATCTCAGCGGGAAATAAATATTGGGCCTTAGTTTTTTTTTCTTTGTTCTTGGCCATCGAAGTAATATAGGGGTGGTTTGGTTGGATAAACTGAAAAACGAGAGAATTTGATCGATTATCTCATATTATAAAACGGTGTCTATGGTGACTTGCAAGTTACTGTAACTTGGAGAAAACGGTAAATCTCTTCCATCAAGTGGTCGACCACTTTCCAAGAAAATGGTCGACCTCTTCCACCAAGTGGTCTACCACTTGAGTCATCCGATCTACCACTTCCGGAAATGGGTCGACCTAATGACACACTTACCTTCAAGCGGTCAACCTCTTCTACCAAGTGGTCTACCATTTGAGTCATCCGGTCTACCACTTCCGCAAATGGGTCGACCTGATGACACACTTACCCCCAAGCGGTTTAACACCCTCCCTCAAATTGATGGTATTGACGCAATATCAATTTGTGAGCTAGAAACCAATGGGGAGCAGAAGCCACAGCCTTGGTCGACAGATCTGTCGTGTGATCTTACTAAGTAATATAAGAAAGCTCAATGATACCTGTCGTAACCAATTGCCGGATGTAATGGACATGAACCTCTATGTGTTTAGTCCTATCATGAAGAACAGGATTAGTAGCAATTCTGATAGCACTCGTGTTATCAGCATATAGGCGAATAGGAAGAACACACTGGACACCCAAATCAGCTAACAGTCGCTGAAGCCACACAATTTTGGACTTGACCTCACTCATGGAGCGATACTCTGCTTCTGTAGACGATTTGGAGACTCTCTCCTGCTTCTTGCAGCGCCAGGAAACAAATGACTTCTCAATCTTCACACGCCAACCTGAAAGTGGAACGTCGAGTATCCAAACAGCCAGCTTAATCAGCATATGCATAAGCCTCCATAATAGGCTCACCACCTGGTGTACCCCGAAGATAACGCAGAATGTGCTCAACTGCGACCTGGTGCATCGTTCGTGGAGCAGCCATGTACTGACTAACCACCTATACAATATAAGCAATATCTGGCTGAGTATTATTCAAATAAATGAGACTACCAGTGATACTACGATACATAGTACCATTGGACAACAGATTTCTTGCATCCTGGCAAAGTTCGAGATTCTGCTACATGGGGGTACCACACGACTCACACTCGTCCATCTGGGCCTCTTCCAGAAGATCCGCGACATACTTGTGCTGACTCACATGTAGTCCTGCCGCAGAACGAGTAATTTCAAGCCCCAAAAAATAAGATAGGTCCCCAAGTTCTTTGAGATGAAAAACATTCCGCATATCTGCAGTTAAGGACCATATCATCAACATAAATCAACAAGACAGTAAGTCCATTCGTATTAGAGAGAAGAAAAGGGAAGGATCATTTTCACTCTGAACGAACCCTGAATTAAAAATCGTCGACTGAAACTTCTCAAACCATGCTCTATGTGCCTACTTTAGGCCAGAGAATGTCGCAATAAACAGACCAACGAACTGTCACCTTTAGCATAGCCAGGAGGCCACTCCATGTAGATCGTTTCATTTAAATCCCCATGTAAGAACGCATTTTTGACATCTAGTTGTAGCAGACGCCACCCCTTCATGGCGGTAATACCGTAATAGCAAGCAAAATGCGGACCGTCTGCATTTTGGAAACATGAGCAAATGTTTCATCATAGTCCACGCCATATTTTTGTTTAAAACCCTGAGCAACAACCCTTGCTTTACGACGTTCAATCGATCCATCCGGATTTTCCTTGAGAGCATAAACCCATTTACTATCGATCACTGATATTTCAGGTTAGCGAGGTACCAAATCCTACATATGTTGAGCCTCAAGAGCATCAGTTTCAGTCGTCATAGCCTTCTCCCATTCATCTATGTCGCGTGTCTGTTTATAGGTGGTCAGGACAAACACATAAGAAGTGGCAGAGAAGGCCACGAAATCAGAGTGGCAAGCAGGGGGGCACCCTTGCGTCATTCGGGTCGAACGACGAAGGAGTGGTCCTGGTGCCTCGCTTGCAGAGGAGCTCAAAGACTGGGAACTAGACGATGATGACTCGGACGAGAGAATGGTGGAGGGCGGAGTGGGCGGTCCATCGTCATCGTCGTCTCCCGCTGCTGGAGGAAAACTGGGAATGGAAGTAAGAAAGTCCAGCTACTGACTTGATGGAGAGGTCGCGGAATCATAATAAAGCTCATTTTCAAGGAAGACAACATGACAGGAAATGTGAAGATGTCGTGCAGCAACATCGTAGCACGCATACCCTTTATGCGTCTCACTATATTCGAAAAAAACACACTTAGCATCCTTGGACGAGAGTTTATTACAGTCTCGACGAGGGAGGAACACATAGCATATGCAGCCAAACACACGTAACCAGCCATAGTTGGGAAGACGCGAATAGAGAACCGGGTAGGGACTGCACTGCGCCAAAACCGGAGTGAGTTGACTATTAATGAGATACACTACAGCATGAACAACTTCAACCCAAAAGCTAGTTGAAACATACGAATGAAACAACAAAGCCCGAGTTATTCCAAGACATGGCGATTCTTTCTCTAGACTAATCCCAAATGCTGAGACACACCTGGACAGGATTGCTGAGGAAGAATGCCCTTCAGACGAAAGATAACACGCAATGGATGAGATGAGAACTCCCCACCAGGATTTGAACGCAGAATCTTGATCACTTTACCAAATTGGGTCGAAACCATCTGAATAAAATCGCGAGCTACCTCAACGAGTTATGATTTCTGTTTGAGAAAATAAACCCAGGTGTACCGTGTCACGTGATCAATGAAGAGAGCAAAGTAGCGGAACCCAAGGCGCGATAGTACTGGAGACGGCCCCCATAGATCAGTATGAACGAGATTGAAAGGGTCAGCATAGTCAGTGGAGCTAGCTATAAATGAGCCCTGAGAAATCTTAGCCTCAATACAATGAACACACTCATGATTAGGAATAGACCGAATTGTTTCAGACAACCAATCTTTTTAAACATATCAAAAAGTATCAATTTATGAGGGTGGCCTAGCCAAAAATGCCACAAATCC